GAATACCGAAGATTTACCGCTACCGAATACCGAAGATGTACCGTCACCGAACACCCTGCTAAAAACCGCTCCAAGGCAAGACTCACCGTCTACCGTATCCGATATGATCCCCGCTATTGATACAGTCGAAGCTGGAACCGAATCATTGTACTCGGGAGCTGATTCCATAGACCCACCCGTACGGCGCTCGCCAGGACCGTTCTATACCGACTTCGACCAGTTCGACCCCTTCGACGATCCTTTTGGACAGACCGTATACGGCCGCTCCCCTAGTCCGCCATCCACAACATCTAAACACCGTCGGACATCCGTATCCGTATCCGCACCGTCGTCATCCGTAACGTCCGACCACCCTTCGCAACAAATAATCGACACCCCCGACTAGAAAGCCGACCGCAAACCCCCGTCACCCCAACGACGACATCTACTTACCAGTAGATCACGGTCTGTGCTGGAGGTGTGGACATCCTGGACACCGCCGGGAGTCCTGCAAAAACAAGCCAGTGGTGTTTTGTTCTCGTTGCGGCCGCGTGGGGTGGATGTCAAAAGAATGCCAGTGCTCGAAACAAAAGCCAAAGGCCTCTCCGCCGGAAGCAGCCGTCGGCGGCTTGGTAGCTGAAGCTTCCAGGCCCCGCTCCTCGGGTAATCCAAGTAACAAACAATCCGCACGACTCCGTTCCGAATCCGAACAATCTGGTTCGGACACTCGCCGACACCGTGCCCTACCCGAAGGGAGTGAAGGGACTCGTCTCCCACCCAGACGGTCCAGTACCCGCAGGCATACCGACGAAGCGACAGTGGAAGAAGGGGACCGTTGTTGCAAGACCCTTCTCCGTTTCCGGCCCTGCAGGGTTTGTGGATGTCCTTATGGACAAATGAGCCACGACACGAGCCGTGCCGGCTCCGGGGTGAAACCGAATCGCTGGTGAGGTGCCAGGGGGCGCCTGAGGAGCCACCAGTTGTAACCATCCTCGACACAATGGATCGTCCACAGCTAGAAGCTTTGGAAGAAGAGTTTTTTTTTAGTGAGTTTATTTTCATTTTTATTATTTTTGTTTTAGGGAATTCAATGGTATTTGAATTGTAGTCAATTAATTTAATAAAATATTTTAGGTTAAAATATTTTTTCCGAAGAGGAGGGGGTGTGTAACGTAGGTTACTAGATTTTTACTAATTTATCCGCGTTTCCGTTAATTAAATTAATTTGCTACTGATATTTTGTGGCTACGCGTGACCTCGGTTGCAAAGCACTCTCCAGTACAAACCGACGTGCGCGACGCGCTTCAAAAACTCAATTCCCCACCGCTGATATCTGCGCTGCCGATCGACGACGACATGACGCGGTGCCTCCCGCTTATAAATATAGCAGCACGCACTGCGTTTGGTCACTTCTCTCCGAGCTCCGAAACCGACCAGACCTACCAGACCGCTCCGATCTGCCGCAGCCGACCGACAAGGTAAAACCACCGCCGCCGCCGCCAGTACCGCCGCCGTCAGCAGCGCCGCGACGCCCGATGTTAGCCGACCGTTTAATGTAAGTACGGGTAAGAATGCAGGTATTTCTTCTTTCTCTCTTCTGTACACGGGTTGATCGGAGCTGCTGGCTGGAATACGGACAGGACAGCTCTGCTCCTTCCGTGACAGAATAAAGGACGCTACGGGCTGGTGACAGGGTAGCGCTCTTTATTCTACACATTTCTTCTTTCTCTCTTCTGTACACGGGTTGATCGGAGCTGCTGGCTGGAATACGGACAGGGCAGCTCTGTTCCTTCCGTGACAGAATAAAGGACGCTACGGGCTGGTGACAGGGTAGTGCTCTTTATTCTACACATTTCTTCTTCCTCTCTTCTGTACACGGGTCGACCGGAGCTGCTGGCTGGAATACGGACAGGGCAGCTCTGTTCCTTCCGTGACAGAATAAAGGACGCTACGGGCTGGTGACAGGGTAGCGCTCTTTATTCTACACATTTCTTCTTTCTCTCTTCTGTACACGGGTTGACCGGAGCTGCTGGCTGGAATACGGACAGGGCAGCTCTGTTCCTTCCGTGACAGAATAAAGGACGCTACGGGCTGGTGACAGGGTAGCGCTCTTTATTCTACACATTTCTTCTTTCTCTCTTCTGTACACGGGTTGACCGGAGTTGCTGGCTGGAATACGGACAGGGCAGCTCTGCTCCTTCCGTGACAGAATGAAGGACGCTACGGGCTGGTGACAGGGTGGCGCACTTTATTCTACACAGTCCTTCTTTCTCTTTTCTGTGCACGGAGTGACCGGAACTGCGGGCTGGAACACATAAACAGGGCAGCTCTGTTCATTCCGTGGCAGAATAACGCACGCTACGGGCTGGTATCAGGGTGGCGCGCTTTATTCTACACAGTTCTTCTTTCTCTCTTCTGTGCACGGAGTGACCGGAACTGCGGGCTGGAACACACAAACAGGGCAGCTCCGTTCGTTCCGTGACAGAGTAAATAGGGCTACGGGCTGTGATACGACCAGGGTAGTGCTCTTTACTCTTCACACCTATTCTCTCTGACCTGCATTCTGCTCGGAGTAAGAAATTCGCGCACGAGGCCCAAAGGCCTAATCCTGCAAGCTGACGGTGTAGATACTGGACCGATCCTGGTTCCTGGAGCTTTCTTTTGCCGATTAACCGTTACCGTAACCGTCACCGTACCGTAATCTCGAACCGTTAAATTCACGCGACTAATCCGTCACGCACACGCACTTCGTTCGCTCCCCCTCACTCTCCGCTTAGCATTTCCTTTTATAAAACCTGTATCTTAATTAAGTTTTCTTGCATTTCCTTTTTGTATTATAAATTATTGGGTAGTCAATAAAAACTACTTTCTTGGTTGGATTGTGTGTTTCATTTTTGGGAAATGCGTAGGGACACCTGGTTTTCCGTCTCCACTGTTTAAAAGCTACCTAGAGCACGTGGGCCCTTAACCACATTAATCCTAAGGGTGGCGCCCGAGTTTTCCGAAAATTCCGAAATCAACCGCTTTCCTCCTGGAAAACCAAAGTAGCGCTACAATAGACTATTTTATTCATTAAGTGATCCTCACAAATTTATGAAAATAAAATTAATAAAATTTTAGTTTGAAGTTTCGGAGCACTGCTTTATTTTGAAAAAAAATTGAAATGTCAAACCAGTCATTTAAAACGAGATTCAAACTGCCCGCCAAATATTAGTTCAATGACTACACCGCTATGGCAGCACCGTCGGAAATGTCACTTGGCGACTACAACAGAAGTGAGCGTTCTATATCAACAATATAAATCACTCTTCTAAGCACAAGAGCAGTAACAATATGACGGAAGTAGGGACACTTTTGTCTCGTCATTTCGCCTCCTTCGTTGCTCCTGACCAAATTTCGAATTCGTGCGGGAATATGTGGCCTTCTGCAACTTGTATTTCAATATACCTACTATTGTTATATCATTATTCTTGAGTAAGGTGTAGAATTTGCCAGCATTCTCTGTAAATTGCTTGTTATGATTGTATTGTGCGGATCTTTCAATGTATCTCTCCATTCTATGTATATGTTCTGACTGACACTAGCTGCTTTAGTTTTTCTGTCACTTTGGCGTGATCTTGTTCATTCTTAATTTTATGTTTTGTGTAGAGTGCTTTCTTCTTTTCCTTCATAGTTTCGCTGAGATTAGGGTTTGGTGACTCTTTTAAGTGTGAGAGGTCTTTTCTCAGTTTTCCAAGGCGGGATACGATTATTTTCTTCCACGGAGGGTCATTGAAATTTGTTGCATTCTACTTTTTGTCCGATGGAGTACGAGTAGGCATTGAAATCTCTTGAATTGTGGCTGCCGTAGAACATATTAGTTTGTTCATGGCAGTGAGTGTTTGGTATTGTCGCGGATTTTCCCCTATAATTTCTTCGATGGCAGAATTATTCAGTTTGATCACCTCACTGGTTTTATTGCCATCATTGATTTTTTTCAATGGCATTCTTTGTATCTCATTATTATTGGCGTAGCCTCTTCGTATTTTTTCGTTAATCTGTCGTATTAAATTTCCTAGTTCCTGGTCTTTTTCGGTGTATGTTTGAGAGGGATTGTGTTCCAGATGGATTGGCTTTAAATGGTCCGATTCTGGCGATGTGTTTAATTACTTTAATTCTGGCGCCTTTTCTACCTTTTCAAGTGTCGTAATTTTGGGGTTTGTTACTCCGTGGATATCTTCTGATACTTCCTTTTTTATTGATTCTATTACCTCGGTGGTCAGTTTTGTTTTGGCCTAGTAGGTATAAACCTACGTTGATTCGCCAGTGTATTCGGGTTGAGATTGCGAGTAGTGTTCGGATTTCGTTTTTCCCAAAGTTGGTGTGTTTCCATTATATTTGACGTATGAAAATGGCACCAAACTATTCCTCTGTATTCATCTTCTGTACATTTCATTCTTTCTCTAGTTTTATCAGCATGTTTTTTTATGCTGGTGTCCTTGTTTGGCTGCTCCTGCTATACCTCCTGATTGTGATCGTTTGTTTGTGTTTTTGTGACATATTCTTATTCGATGTTCCTTTGATTCTGAATAGTACGTCCAGTTTCTATGCTAAGGTATTCTTTGACGTTTCTTGTTATTGCTTCTAATTCATCTGTTGACAGCTTGTTTTGATTAAGAATGCCTCTTCTATGAGTAGCCATGGTGTTGGAATTTAATTCGTGCTCAGAATTAGGGTTCCTCTTCTTCCATAGTTTAAATGTCTCTGCCCCATAAATGTCTTTGGTTCCGGTTTTCTCCATGGTATCATAATGACACCACATGATTTCTTAATATTCATCTTGATACTATTTCGCTCTCTTGTGCCTTTCATTATGTTAGGGTTTGTTTACCGTCTCGTATTGGGTTACTAATTTTCCCCACCCCAGCCTTGTATCTGTTTCTCAGTTATTTCATTTGTTTTCATATCTTGTTCCTTGGGATGTAATAGTTCAAAGTAGTCAGCCGATAACACCGGCAACACCGCAAGTCAATGTTGCCATGTTACTTATCTTTATTAAGGATTTATTTCCAAAAACCAATAATTACATGATTATTGTATCTATTTATATTATTGTTCCACATAAATAATCAATTGCATGTTTGATTAAATTTTTTTTAAATGATAATTATAATTTATAAGTATTACATATTTCACAAGCACAAACTGTCAACATCCCAAAACAGTGCTTTTTCCAAAAATTAAAATAAAAAAAAAATTGGGAACGCAGAAAAAAAATAACTGCACATTAAGAATAAGCAAACAAAATACTATTCAATAGGCGAAAAAAAAAAATCGGAAACATGCCCATTCGCTAGATAATTCAATCAATCGGGCTAAGTTTTTAGGGTCAAATCCACATTCAAAGGGTCTAGTTTTTTCTCGGTCTTTAAAACTTTTTTTTGATACTATATTTAATAGAAGAATTCCATTCTTGAACAAAAGAAGCGTCTAAAGGCTATCTCTATTATTTTAAGCCCGCCGTGCTTGAAGATTTGTATTTGAAGGGTGATCCAGGGTTATACTATAAGATAATAAAACCACATTTTCTAAGAAATGTTTTATTATTTTGGTATGATGATATAAAAGCTACACATCAGTCATAGATTATTATAATAAGATGCACCATCGTTTTACTTAATTTTAACATAGGTACCTACTACCTAAGGTATGTGTATACTACAATAATAAGTTTAGATAGTAAAATTTGTTTAGCTTCTTGTCATGTAAAATTGTGCTAGAGTTGCAAAAATTTATCTTGTAGCTGTGTATGGAGGAGGCATTTCTGGATAAAGCAACGGAGTTTCTTCATTCACCATTGCTTCATTTCGATTTCTGACACTTCGATTCCTATGTGGTGGAAAAGGTGGTTTTCCCAACGATTTTCTGATTTGGACATGGACTCCAGTGGCAAATAAGAGTATCCACAAAACAGTTTGCCAAATGTCTAAAATAAAAATTAAATGCAATGTCTTAAAAAAAATTATTTATTCAAGTATTTACCTAACGTTTGAAAAGGAGGATTGATTACAGCTGTTCCAAAGTTCTTCACAGTCATTCTCCGGTAGGTATTGATTAAAATATAAGGCAAATTTCCACCGAAATAATAATTGAGGGCAACAATGATGGCATAAGAGCCCAATAAGCTTAATGCAATTATGTAATACATAGATGTTAAAGTGACCATTGGCAATAAGCTTATTATCAAAACAGAACTAAATGCCAGCCAAAAGCTTGGCTCATCGGTGAATATGTAAAAATTCCCTAAAAAATAATAATAAAGACATATTTTTCGTTGTTTGGATAGGTACATACCCAATGGACTATAAAATACGATCGAAGCAATAAGCCCTCCCATCAAAATAAATGCTAGAAATACTGCAATGAATGGTATGCCATATTTCCACCAAAGGAAAATCCATGCAATGGCAACAAAAATTCCCATTAATAACGCATAAACTGCTTTACCTGTATTACAAAAAATATAAACAAATAAAAAACAAGATATAGAGGCCGAATTAATTTGCCGAAATAAATCGATCCAAGCAATATCACCAGACGATACCTTGCCTTCAATCGTGATACACTTTGACAACTCTCACATAGTTATATTCAAAATTCACGAGAAAATTAATTTCACATAATTGTAAATGTATGGTAATTGTCTGGATCCTACTGTGGCTTTGTGATCTAGAAAATTTGACTGCACAATCATCTACAAAAACATCCGAGGTTATTGAGCCAATCGGAGTTAAAAAGTTTGGAAATAGATAGTCTCAGAAACCGGTTATTTGTTTTAGCTCATCGCAAACTATGAATGTATTTATTTCAGCAAATGACAGATTTCGGCAAATGTGCGTAACGTATATCATAAATTACCTGCACTTGAAAAATCATTATCAACAGTCACCATTATCAACATAATGATAACCCCAAAAGTATATCCAATAACAAAAAGTCCAAATTTAAACCATTGATGACCAGAAAAGCAAATTATCACACCAAAAATGAGTAATAATGCAATAACGACTTTCCAGTGTGGTTCGACAGGAGCCAGGCACTCTTCTTCCCAAGCCTGCAAGTTGCATCCGAAAGATGTTGCCGGTACGTAAGCAGATTTTTCTCCTTCATATGTCGATACAACAGCAAATACTCGACCAGTACCTCGATAATTATTATACATTTGTTTAAATTTGTTTGAAGATAAATGATCTGGCACTTTCGTGCCATATTTGGTTATATTGTCTGGAGTGGCCATTTTTTGGATGACTTCAAAGTATTCTTGACTGTTATTATCATATTCTTTTAAGTAAAAATAGTACATTTCGGTGGTTATATTACTTTTATTACAAAACTCGCCAAACAGAGATGGAGGTTGACTCATGACTGTGATAATTTCATCACTTTGGTTAACCTTCTGATAAGGAGCAATTTCGGTTTCGAATGATAAATTGCAACCGCCTGGTATTGGATCTAAAAGGATCTAATTAGATACTTTTGAAATACTTTTTCAACAAACTCACTATTTCTGGTATAAGTTGTAACGATTATCAAAAAATCCAATTGTTCATCAACCTGGTGATTGCGGAATAAATAAAACTGGACCAAACCGGAAGCTGCACTACCAGTATTTTCCTTTTTCCTCTTCATTGAATATTTTTCAAGCCCTTCTTTCCAAATCAGGCCAATATTAGTGCCGTTTGTGTACGAATGTACATCCATAGGGTCGTCATAAGATAAGGCAACAATTTCATTGAAAGTATGGATTTGTATGTTGAAAAAGTCAACACTGGCATTTATATTTATTACGTTTATAGTGTATGCAGCCTCCACAGCAGTAGCAAATTTAGTAACGGTAGTTCCAGGTTGGGAGTTTGATAAGTCTACTGTGATTTGTGGATCTAAAAATTTATTTTGATAGAAAAAAACTGAAATATAGATATATACTTCATTGCAAAATATGAAACTGTTATTTTACAAATGCCATGCCTACAGTCTCGTCGGAAGGTACCTCACGCAGCTCGAAGGCATGAACTTAATAATAATTATATTTTCTGGTTGCGGTCATTAATACCTCAAATACATACAAGGAAATTGTTAGAAATATCATCTAGTAAAAGCCGGGATTGCATAAGATCCTTTAGTTCTTCTTTTTTCGGAGTAGTCACTTCTTACAAATTTCCTTCTGTTATGACGGCAGTAATTGAAATCTCAAAGCTCCTGAGTCCTGAACAAATACAGGGTGTCCCAAAAAGATACCGACAAACTTTAAGGGGTAGTAGGGGACATCAAAACAAGCATTTTTGTTTATATAAACATATTTCCGCAAATGAGCCATTTGGGCTGTAGAGCAAAAAAATTCTTTTCATTCTCTCAAAATGTTGACTATTTACTTCAATGCAAAAATTGCACTGTCGGGTCATTGACTCGCGAATCCTTTGGAATATTCCGGGAATAGCTTCTACATGGGTACAACTCGCCAGTATCCTTGCTAACAGATCTTCCTCATTACGAACAGGTGTTTCGTAGACTAAACTTTTCAGTCAATGACCCGAAGGTGCAATCTTGGCATTGAAGTAAATGGTCAACATTTTGAACAATTATTGTAAACCATAATTGATTTGTTAATAAAGCAAATTTAATAAGTAAACAGTGATTTAATTATTGCGAAGAATGAAAACAGTTTTTTTGCTCTACAGCCCAAATGGCTCATTTGCGGACATATGTTTATATAAACAAAAATGCATGTTTTGATGTCCCCTACTACCGCTTAAAGTTTGTCGGTATCTTTTTGAGACACCCTGTATATTCATTAGATGCATATACTTATGCCTTTACGTTCAGGTTATATCGCGTCTACACTTGTTGAGAAATTGATTACAGACATTTCATTTCCCTGGTTCAATACCTATGTTTATTGAGATTTTGGGTTATATAATTAGCAATCTACCATCATTTACAAAAAGAACATAATGCATACCTTGCCCGATATCGTTCACACATGGCGTTGACTGTATATTTGAGTAAGTCTTACATAAAAAAGTTTTAAATAGAAAAATATACTTTTATATAAGAAAATAAGCCAAAGACCTTAATTTGATTGTTTTCAAAAATTATTGTTTGTTGCCTTTCAGGGCTTGATAAAGTATAAATTGAATATACGAAACGTCGCCAGAGAATAGTTGGTCTTTGTATCCTTTCCCATAACCCAATATCTCAAAAAACTTGTTGAGAAAATTCTGCTTATAACCTCTTCTCTACCGCCGTTGTAAACTGTAATTATTGTTCTGAGGGCGAGGGGCAAATCGCTGGTGGAATTATTTGTAGACGCAAAGTGCATTTTTTGGAATTAATGATATTTTCGTGGAATTCTTGGTATTTTGTAAGATTTTTTGGCATTTTTGTGGAAATTCAAATGGTGTTAACAGAATATTTTCATAAAATAAAATATTTGCGTATATCTTGACGAAGTTACGCACAGGAAGTAATATTGAATTCGTTTTGGGAAATTATGTTTCAAGCTATAAACATATCGGGTCTTCAAAAAAAAAAACAATCAAAGATTGCTATGGTTTTTTAAACGTATGTCTTAACTTTATTTTTCTTTAATTTTGTCAGTGAACTTTAATGTCAAAATGTAATGTCAAAAATCCTGACCAATAAAGAAACAGTTATGCGACGTACGTTTTCGAAATCAAAGCAATCTTCGATTGGTTTTTTTATTGAAGACCCGATATCTTGACTTACTCATAAGCGAGGTTCACAGAAGCAAACATTTGGTTAACCGGAGCGACATCTCATCAGAAGACAAAATTAACTATAAAAGCGCACAGACGATCTGTTAGGAGTTAGAGAAGCTCTGAGCAATAATATTCCTGAATCAGCTGGTACAATAGCCTTTTTGAGAGGTAGGTATGGATTTTTCCAAGGATATTTTATTTGATAACCTAATTTCGCAAGATCAGGATTTAAAATCCAGGTTAAGTAAGTTATGGTCCGCCACTTTTTTTCTAATATATTGGAGAAAACGAATAAAGGAGGCCCAGCTCCGTTGAAGGGATCGACCTTTTGTGAAGAAGCTGGTATAACATGATTTATGGTACTTGGCCTTGAGCGCAACCATGTCTGCCGAAGAAAGCTTTGTGAGAATAACATCATCCTGAAGTAGGACAGCATTTTCATAAATTGACGCCCCAATTAAAAGTGTAGATGCACATATAAGGTGTCCGTTTTCCTCTCCAATCACAGAATAAACATAATTCCTTGAAATGTTTATGGTTTGTAACATTGTCCGTGTTGATCTAGTACATTGGAAAGTGGTTTTGCTAGCCATCCATCATACGTTGAGCCTTGAAAGTATCATACTCGTTCCTAAACATTTTGTGATATTTTGCATTGAGGCTTATTAACGCTTGGAGTACACCATCACCTGCCATGGACCGATTCAGAGATCTTATACATCTTGGAAAGCTGCCACAATCTCCAAAAGTAACCAAGTCGGTATATTAGGACACGTTGCAACCGCTGCAATTCTACGCCGTAGCTGGAGCACAAAACACAACTCACAACCAAGGTAGACTAAAACTTTGCAGTGTTTGAACACGTATGAAAACTATAGCAGATGCAGTGTGACCAAACCAACGGATCTGAAGTCTGAAACTGAACCTACGAGGCAACGGTGATTTAGGGTTTCATCAAGACGAGAAATCTTGACTTGAACGTAATTTCTTCACTTGACTTGAAATTCAAGATCAAGAACTTGGAACCTTGACTCGATGAGTTCTTGAAAGCAAGTCTTGACTTGAAATCAAGATAGCTTGAAATCTCTTGAAATTGCTTGAAAATAAGCTATCTTTGTTTTTCTACGTCGCTCTCGAAAACACAATATTATCAATAATTTAGGGTACTCATAAATTATATTAAGTTCAAAGTGCCAAAGATAAATTTAGGACTGTTGTCCACTGATCTCTTTACTATATGCTCAAATTTGAATCGTTTTAGAGTTTATGCTTAAATTACGTAGTTACATATTTGAATGTTAGTATGAAAAAGCCTATTTATCTCAAGCATAAACTACAGAATATTATATTGGTAGTTCCTGAAAGTAATCAAAATTAAAAAACAAAATAAAATACTGCACAAAAATGAAAACATAGATATACAGATAACATACAGAAGTAATCTCTGTTAAAGTCAAGCCGCATAAAAATTCTGACAAAAACAGATAGACAAAGGTAAATAAAACGAAAAATTAATAGGAGTCACAGTTAAAATTACTTAAAAATTCTCATATTCCTGATTTGTGGCAGGGAGTAGTTAAAAATATCACAGTCGCAGTAGAAGCGGTTGTAGTTAACCACCAATCTGTCGATGAAAGCAGTTTGGCCATAGTTGGTACGATGTTGACCTTCATAAAACAGTTCATGTTGCCTGGTGCGTCTTAAAGGAACTTTTAAATGTAGTAAGCCTAGCAAGGTGTCACAGTCGATCATCCCATTGCACAGCTTGTGAAACAAAATAAACATAGGTTCTCTTCTTCGGTGTTTAAGACTTTTTAGTCCACAAAGCATCAGCCTAGTTTTATAGGTTAGTCCGTCTGAAGGAAGATGGTGCTCGCTCACCTAAAAGGTTGTGAACTTATTTTGAACTTTTTCTAGACTGCTTTTGTGGATAGTGTACTTGGGAATCCATCTGAGCAGTATTCTAGTGTGCTACGGACAAGTGAGTAATACAGACAGCATACTGCTTTGGTATCCATTATATTTGGAATTCCTTTCTAAGGCCCTTGATTGCAACGTTTTCAACATGCAGATTGAAACTGAGGTCTTTCTGGAAAACCACTCCCAAATCATAGAATGATTGACTGAGGTGAGGAGTTGATCGTTTATGGTGTAGTTACGAACAATTTGATTTTCACACCTATAGAAACTGATGGATTTGAATTTAGGAACATTATTGAGGTGATTGAGGGAACACCAAGATACAAACTATTGTCAAGGTCATCCTGCAATCGGTTGTTGTCCAGGGATACCTGATTGTAGAATTTCAGATCATCAGCGTACAATACGACATGAGAAGAGGAGAAGCAGGACGTTACGTCGTTGATGAAGAGAAGAAACAGTACGGGTCCCAGGTGAGATCCTTGGGGGACACCAGAGGTAACCATTACATCACTGGATAGTGTATCACCGACATCAACTCGCTGCCAGCGATCACCAAGGTAAGATTGGATCCAGCTGGGATAGTTCCCAATTATCCCAATTTCTGACAATTTCTTGAGGAGGTGCTGATGGTGGACGCTATCCAAGTCCTTGGATAAGTTGGTATAAATAGAATCAACTTGATGTCCCTGTTCAACTGAGGTGATAAAAAAGTTCTGGTAGACTACAAAGTTGGTTGTGGGTGAAAGTCCTCAGTAAAGGCCATGCTGGACAGAGTTGTATCTGTCGTAAGTCGTGAATATCTCGTCAGTTAAAATAGATTCGAGAAGTTTAGGAATAGCAGATAGGATGGAAATACCACGATAGTTCTCGATGTCACACTTGTTCCCCGACTTGAAAATTGGCAATAGAAAGGAAATTTTCCAAGCTCCTGGAAAATACACGCCGTTCAATGAGCGTTGAGTAGATAACTTGTTGCACAAAGCTTCGCAAGTACATGAGAAAGATCTATAGCATCCACTCCCGCATCCACTGGTGAGTACGGTGGAATATATACACATCCAATTACTAGATTAGTCTTCAGAGCGTCGAGCCGTACCCATACATCTTCAAACCTCAAAACGTTACTTGTAGCTACAATTATACTCCTCCGAAAGACTGTGAAAATGGAGTCAAAAAGTTGAAAGTTATGGAAGGAACTGTTTAACCAAGTCTCGGAGAAAACAATAATTTCGAAATCA